AGTAGTCCTCGACTTACAACAGTTCATTTAGTGGCTGTTCAAAGTTATAAAGTGACTTTCGACCCTTTTTCACACTTAGGATGCTGCAATCAGCATCCTTATGATGAGGTGATTTACCTTCAGATGCTTGACAGCTGGCTCATATTTATGACGGTTGTGGTGTCCCAAGATCATGGGATCCCCTTTTGTGACCTCCTGACAAACAAAGTCAATGGGGAAGCTGAATTCAATTAACAACCGCATTACTAGTTTAACAACTGCAGTGATTCCTTTAACAAATTGTGGTGAGAAAAGTCGTGAAATGGGGCAAAACTCACTTAACAAATTTCTCACTTGGCAACATAAATTTTGAGCTTAATTGTGATCGTAAGTCAAGGACTACCTGTAATGAGAACAGTTAATCAGTGGAACCTCCAGAAATTGTGGGTACTCCAACACTGGAGGTTGTTATTGGACATCCATTTGTCTGAAATAACATAGGGGCTCCTGCTTGAGCAGGGGGTTGGACTAGAAGACCTCCAAGGTCCCTTCCAACTTTGTTATTCTGTTATTATGCTGTACTTAAAACAGATGGATTAATGAAATAATTTTCCATAGGAATATGCAGCTTTGTAGTATTTCAAATAATTCATTCTTCTCTTCGCTGGGTGAAATATATTTTGATATTTAAATTAATTGTGATATTAACAATATGGAACAAAGTTGTTTGTCCCTTTATTTTGAAGATTTCTGTCAGTAATGACATTCATAATTTAGATAAAGCTTTGGAATTGAAATGAAATCAAGCACTTTGTCAGAAATCTTTTTAACAAAACAGAGGGGATCAATATACTTTGATTACAATTCTTCTGTTATCCAATGTTAATAACAGCCTTATATTTTAACTGTATTAGCTGAATACTTAAACTAGGGGATAAAATTGTATTCTACCACCTAAAAATTGGAACCTGCTACAAGGCCCCTTCCAACTCTGTTATTTTCAGGTTTGGTTTGAGATAATAATTACAGATTTGCTATCTAGATGTAGCCTGACTCTGTGTCTTCCTTGTTTGGTTTTCTTTTTTTTTTTGCTAGCACCTTAGCTGTACTTCCCCTTCGCTGTTGATCTATGAAGGTGTCTATGCAATATATGTGAGTCAGCACTTAAGTTCTGTTTTTGTTTACAGGTTGCTCTAGGAGAATCCAATGAACTGTTGGAGGCTAATCCAGAAGCAGAAAAACTACTGTTCAGGAAACATAGTACCAAAGGCCTTGGCAAGCTTGCTCCAGCCAGTTGTGTTTTTCTGTGAGTTTGGGATGACGGGAAGAAAGCAACCAGGGATGAAAAATTACTACTTAAATCAGTTTCCCCTAATCTGAGGAGATGGATATGACACTACTACAACATTTAGTCTATGATGATGTGTCGACTTATGCTATCAGAGACAGAGTTGGACCATTGTTTTTCAACCATGCCACTTTAAGAGATGTAGACTTCAACTCCCAGGATTCCTGAGCCAGCCATGCTGTTGAAGTCCTGAAGTCATAAAGGAGCCATTGTTCCCCACCTCTGAATTAGAGGGGTGGAAGCAATGCTGAGATTTGATTTTAAAAAGAGATGAAGTGAATTGCACAAGCTTCTTTCATGTTATCTTCCTGAGACAATATAAATTGGTACTACAAAGAAAATGATAATGGGAGATAGAATATTTTAATTTCCTGCCTTTGATATTATAAATAATTCAAGGAGACGTACATATCTAATATTTCTTCCTCCTATTTTTCCCACAACAACCCTATGAGGTTGGTTGAGTTGAGAGTGTGTGACTGGCCCAAAGTCACACAGCCGCTTTTGTGCTTAAGGCTGGTCTAGAACTCACCATCTCCTGGTTTCGAATTAAGTGCCTTAACCACTAGATTCAAACTTCTTACATTTTATCTTGATTTCTGAAGCTTTGTGATAGTTCGCAGCTCTTTTGTGAATTTTGTAGTCATTGTGTCATTGTTGAACAAAATGCCTCTTTATTTAAAGAAGAAAGGCTGTGTTGCAAAAATGCACAAAAATACTTGATTTTCAGTTCTGATATCCAAGTAGAAACTATACTTGGTTGGGTGTCTAAATGCTAGCCAATGGCATCGGGAATCTTAACTTTAATTACACAAAATTATTGTTTTCTCCATTTAAAACTTTGCAAAACGATGGGGTGGAACGGTGGTAATATTTGAGGGATTCAACATGATGTTTTTCTCTCTTCCTGCCCAGGCATGGTGCCACTGTTCCTGTGGGCCCAGCTAAAGAAACCGGGATAGCAAACCCTCATGGCTATGCCCTAAATTATAATGAATTTGTTGTCTATGACCCACGGCAGGTGCGTATGAAGTACCTTCTCAAGGTGCGCTTCAATTTCCCACGGATTTGGTAAATGGAGAAAAAAATGGAGAGAAAAACTGGCGTAAGAATGACATCTTGAAGCAGAGATGGTTCTCTTTTGATGGGTGCTTTCTACTTGAGAGGCTGAAGAAGACAACTCCTGAAACTGACCTTGTCGTGCGGTTAGAAAACTTTTGCCGTATTTTCGTTTACATTTCTGTTACGAAGTTGTCTCCTGAGTGAGGAAAACGATGCCGTGAAGGATAACTAATCTTTAGGATTTCCAGGTGATCATTATTTTTTTCTTGAACGATTTCCAGTTTAGTTCCAGTGGAAACACACCGATTGCTTGACATTTTTGTAAAATAAAGGAATAAACGTTCTTTGGTGTATGTCAATAACTTTGGACTTGGATAGAGGAAAATAAGAACAGGTCTTTGTATCTTTTACTTTTTGTAATTTGTATTTTTGGGTAGCATAGCCCTCCCTCCTCTAGTAGACCAAACATTCATTATGAAGATGCACAAAATATTTGAATTGTCCCAGAGGTGCTTTTTTTTTCCCCCAAAAGGCCAGTGGACTTTGTTTTTCCTTGAAGGCATTTCACTTCTCATCCAAGAAGCTTTTTCCATTCTGACTGAGTGGTGGAAGATGGGAGGATTTACTGCAAGGAATATAAATCCACCTTTCCTCATTCAGTCAAAACTGAAAAAGCTGCCTGGATGAAATGTCTTTAAAAAAAACACAGAAAGTCCAGTTGCCTTTTGAAAAACAGGCGTGGAACAACTATGATCTTGGATGACTGAGATGACTCCATAGACTATCAGGCCCAGTTCTGCAGAACTTAATTCCAGAATGCTTTGAGATTTCTCAGTTTGGGATTAAACAAAATCTGGAGCACAGACTATCTACTCATGTGTGTTCCCTCCCTTCTTTCCACTGCTGATGTCCTTGGCTTTGTCCTGCTCTCTCATCTGATCACTTCTGCCAAAATCAACCAAGACCTATTTCATTCTGAGCCCAGATCCTATCAAACTATGTGCTCTGTTCATACACAGAATGGTGAATTTACCTCAAAATTACTCTTAGCTGTGATTTATCTTTCATCAACCCCAAATATTAGATGTATTATTTGTAGTGCATTTCAACCCCATCCTGAGACCCGGTGGCTCAGTGCCTGAGACACTGAGTGCCTAAGACACCTCTGAAACCTCAGAAAGGTTGGCAGTTCGGCGGTTCGAATCCCTAGCACTATGTAATGGAATGAGCTCCGGTTACTTGTCCCAGTTTCTGCCAACCTAGCAGTTCGAAAGCATGTAAAATGCAAGTAGAAAAATAGGGACCTCTTTGGTGGGAAGGTAACAGCATTCTGTGTGCATTTGGCATTTAGTCATGTCAGCCACATGACCACAGAGAGGTCTTCGGACAGCGCTGGCTCTTTGGCTTTGTAACAGAGATGAACACTGCCCCCCTAGAACCAGAAACAACTAGCACGCATGTGTGAGGGAAATCTTTACCTTTACCTTGAACCCCATCATTCCTCCAAAGGGATCTATGGAAGTGTCACTAGTCCAGGCAAGCAAGTATTCAAGGTTTGAGAAAGTCCAGGTGAAACTCTTAATTTATGAGCTTCTGGACATGGACAGTAAAAATCTGAATAAATCTTCAGCAGCAGGGAGATGGAATGTAGCAGCAGTCCCTGACATACAATTTGTTTTGTGATTGTTCAAAGTTATAACCACACCAAGTGACTTACAACCATCTTTCACACAACTGTTGTAGCATCCCCACAGTCACATGATCAAAACTCAGGTGCTTGGCAACCAGCATGTAGTTACTGTTGAGGTAATTCCCCGTTAGGAGAATGAGTGCATACAGGGAGACATATTTGAGAGAAGTGTTTGAATAATACACACACAGCGCACATACACTGTATAGTAAATGTAGGTTTTTTACTTCTAGAAATGTTGAAGCAAAGTTCAGAATAGGCAGTCCAAAGTCATTCACAGGTAAATCAGTCAGTTTTCAATCCAGGGATAATCCAATAATAAATTCCAGTGTCAAAAACAGTTCAGTATCATACTTACATCAAATCCAGGAATATCAGTCAATTAGAAAGAACGGCAATACTCTCCAATAGAAGGAAACAGATTCACTCTCTTCTGAGACAAAGACGAAGACTAAGAACCCAGGTTTCTGGCTCCATCTTATGGCCGTTTGAGAAACCACACCCAATTACACTTTTAGGATTCTCTTAAAGAGACAGTTTTAAAATGTCTATCCTGGTTTATATATGTCTAACCCAAATAACTGTTAGGTGACTTATATTCCTAACAGTTACTATAGTTGCAGCAATCCTGGGGTCAAGTGATCACCATCTGCAACGTTCCCAGCTGGTTTCCAGCAAGCAAAGTTAATGGGAAAAGCCAGGTGATTAATTTAACTGCCCTGATTTACATAAAACCACTGTGAAAAGGGTTTGTGAAAACATCTTACTTAATCACCACCTGTTTAGCAATGGAAATTCTGATCCTAACTGATCATAAGTTGAGGATTTACATAAGTTGATCATGAGCAAATTTAAATTCCAGGTCTGCCTTAATCGGTCCTAAATAATCTCAATTTTAGTTTCCTCTGTAATATATAACTAAATAATAGGATATTCTTAATGGTCTCAATTATTCAGTGAGAGAAAGTAAAATGGTGGTTTGGACTGAGGGAGACAAAAAAATACACATGTAAAAAAAAAAAGATTGAAGACACACTACATACAGCGAGGGAAAATTAATTTTAATTCCATTTAAATATCAAGTGAATAATCTCTAAATTGCATATAAATTTTGTGTATTCCCATGCACACCCTATGATTACATTCAATCCTGTCTCTGCTATGATCAAAAGATGTTTGGAATTTTCATTTCTCCTGACTGTAAGGTTCAATCTAAACTCTCGTGGTTATTAAGCCACCATCAACCCCAACATAGGAACCACATTCAGGTCACAGGAAACATTGAGGGTTATTCTCAATGCCTGAGATTTGCTGAACAGGTCAGAAGAGACTGAAGTGGCATTCAAAAGCTCTTCCCGCACAAAGGTGCATCCCAATCCAGAAAGTAAACAGTGCCCAAAGTATCTCCCACCATCAGGAGTACAGAAGAGTCCTTGCAAGGGGAGGGCTGGAGACAGGAAACTGGGGCCCGGCATCGAAATTGGCCAATCTGTAAACAAGACAAGGAAGGAGGAAAAGAAGAAAAGAGACATCAGCAAAAGAATGCAAAATATTGGAATGGCTTGCAATTTTGGGAGTGGGGGAGAGAGATGCTGTCTATGGTGAGAAAAGGTCTTAAAAGTTTTTTTACACACTATGGCAGCGTTTGTCAACTTCAGGAATTTTTAAGATATGTGGATTTCAATTCCCAGAATTCCCTAGCCAGCATGCTCTATATAGAGTCTAGCTAAAGAGTAGCAGGAGTTCTCTGGGCACTACATTCCCTGTAAATTTCTAGAAATATATATAGGAAAAATTCAAGTCTTAGTCCTAAAATCAGTATTATCGGCAGATAGTTGTTGTTTTTTTGTATGAACAAGTTATGTAAGGCACAGGGATCTCTAGATTAACTGTAGCATTCTGGCCATCAAATGCATCTCGAATGCATTTGGCATGTGTGGGTAAAGACACAGTTGTGGAAATGAAACTTGCATTGAGGGAGAACAAGGTGAGGCCAGCCATGGCATCGGCCTAACTTCAGCCCAGCATTATTCAGGGACACTCACCAACTTCATTGTGCTGCCATCCCAAATCTTCACATCCTGGTCGCAGGATGCCGTTACAATCCTGTCTCCCACCAGATGCAAAGCTGTAATTGTGTCGCAATGGATCTAAGGTGGGAAGAAGAGGCGGAGTAAATTTTAGCCCTTGCATCAGACCTAGTTGAGCAATAGTAAGTGGTATGATCCCCTTCATGGGATTGTCCCTGTGACTAGGAAAAACGGGAGGTGGAAGGGGGGAGCTAACCACCAGACTGCAAGAACACAAGTGAGCTGAGGAGACCCAAACTCATTGGTAGACTCATTGCAATGAACAAGGACATACATCCAATTTGGCAGCTATTCAGATAGTTGGCCAAGCAGGTACAAAAATAGCCAGAGAAATTATTTAAGCATGGAAAACAGGCCTCTTGCCAGTCAACAGGGATGCTGATTTTATCAGGTCCTTAGTAGCAGAGAACTTGGCAGCACAAGGAAACAACAGCCAACAAGAACTGGCCATCAACACCCCAATCAACAACTAAAAAGCCACATACAGCCAGGCACCACATAAGTATTATGCATAGAATAGCCCAAAACACACATTATGGTGAGAGAGAAGTTACTAAGGATGGGTTCCAACATTAGTCTGAAAACTCGGAAGACTAAACCTCTGGCCCAGGTCTTCAACCCAGATTGGATCCAGTAACTGGTGTTGCTATGTGAAGGAGAATGGACTTTGAATAAGACAAGTGGGTCAATCCCTCCAGAGACATGGAAAGGGTCTCAGTAAATGGGAACAGTAGTTTTGCCAATCAGTTGACTGAAGTGGCATGACATAATTCTTGCTCACATAGGAGAGATGGGCAACCATTTTTTTCTGAATCTGTCTCACCTTCCTCTTTTGCCAGTCCTTAGATGCGTCTTCCTCTTCTTCTTCCACTTCTTCCTCTTCCTTCTCTACTTCCTCCTCCTTTTCCTCTTCTTTTTCTTCATCTTCATCCTCGTCCTCATGCTCTGTCTCCTCCTCCTCCTCCTTCTCCTCCTCCTCCTCCTCCTCCTCCTCCTCCTCCTCCTCTATGTGCGGAATCTGACTCCAAAGAAATCCCTCTGAATCACCATATAATAATTTGTCTTCCAAAAAAATGGGAAAAGCAGGGATTAAAATGACCCTCTATGTAGCTGTCTATCATCCTTTAGTGTACCTAGCTTATCTCTCATTCCTTTAGAAATCAGGGACCCTTTTCTCTGAGGTCCATGCCAGATTCTCTGTGCCAATCCTATTATCGGATCCTATGAAATTAACCCTCTATTGAATCCAAGGAAAACCCACCTACCAGAGGTTTTATATTTATAATTGTTCAGTCAGAATAGAATAGAATAATAGAGTTGGAAGGGACCTTGGAGCAGTGGCGAAATGCTACTGGTTCAGCCCGGTTCTCCCGACCCTGCAGCAATTTCGGTGGTAAAAAAGGTAGCTCCGATGATCCCTCCCA